GCCCACTGCAGGATGATAGATCATCACCTTGACCGGTAACTGCTCGTTACCTCAACTACGCTGACAAAGCGAGCGCCCTACCATAACCGCAGGTCACTCGAGGTGGAGGTCCTCAAACTTCTTTTATTCGCTGACTACTCTGTGGAAGTGTCTAAGAAAAGGTTAGCTGGATAGGCTAGCTTCACACTAGCCTATCCAGCAATACTTCACCTGGAATCGCTGACAGGACGCAAATGCTCCTTCCAAGACCCTGAGGAAGCGGTGTCCTTCCGCCTGAAACTCGAGGAGGGCGACGGGTCTCCCTCTAAACAATCCTTGCCCCAACTATCCGCAATTGCTGACCAATACCCCATTGGGCTGCCATCACATTCTGTTTTGTTACCCGAGGGGAGCGGTGCTCCTATTTATACCTCATAACGGAGACTTGTGGCATCTGTGTCCATAGGCCTAGCCCCTGATTGCTATGCTCAGTGGCCTCCGCGGGACATTGCTGCACTTATTCCCGTTTGCACACATTGGAAACAAGTCAATACTACAATGTTTCCTATTTTGTGTTATTTGTTATTAACGTTTTTTTAGTTTTAATTGTAATTGATCTTATTGCTGATTGCCTGACAGGTCTCATACTCACTCCTATTTGGCAGATGGGGATCTCCTCTCGCGTCTGCACCTGGCCCTTCTGCTCGTTCGGCTGCAGTGGTCACCTGGCATGGGTAAGCATAACCAGCCCCTATTGTCCTGCTCTTACCTTTATTCCCATTAATAATGTTTTCAACTGCTTAGGTACATGTCGTTCACACTGGGGACTGTTATGGGAATAGTGTCTTGGAATGTCAAGGGGCTTCGCTCCCTAGAAAGCGTAATACTGTATTGAGGCATCTTAAACGTTTGGGCACGGATGTTGCCTTGCTGCAGGAGACTCACCTGAAGGCATATGACATCCCTCGTCTCCAGTAACAATGGGTTGGGGAGGTCTTTGGTTCTCCCTCAGCGGGTCGTAGGGCAGGAGTGGCTATACTACTACATAAACAATTCCCAGGGGAGGTTGTGAAGGTGGACCATGATGAAGAGGGCAGGCTGCTGTCCATCTACCTGAAACATCAATCCCTGGACTTCGTTATTACGAATGTCTACATGCAAAACTCACCTGCCATGCATCATTTTAGTTCGTTAGCACGTTGGCTTTCCAAACCGGCAAAGGCACTTCATTTGGTGGGGTGACTTCAACTCCACGATGCACGAACACGAGGACAGGTGTAGGAACGCTGGGTTACCGTTGTATAGACGTCCCTCCTCGGGGTCTGCGAGATCCGCCCTGTCTAATTTGATGTCCGCAATGGACTTTCATGAATCGTGAAGTTTGCCGCACCCGCTAGACAAAGAGTACACTCATTTTTCGAGAGTTCATTATTGCTTTGCCCGTTTAGATTACCTCTTTTGCCTCCCAATTACTGTCGATGACAGACGCCTCTGCTATACATGATATTGCCGCCTCTGACCACGCTCCTATCTCATTGGAGGTCCAATTGACCCCGAAAATCCCAAACATGATTCTTTCTCGCTTCCCAGGGCACCTAGCGACAAATGCAGAATTTTGTAATTTTTTGCAAACCTCCTGGAGAGACTATGCAGAATTTAACAGTCAACATGCTGCCACTCCCACTCTTTACTGGGAAGCAGGTAAAGCATATCTCTGGTGTAGGATTACTTCTTATGTATCTGCCCTGGACCCTGGAGCAATACTATAGAACGCTTTACAGTGTGGACGACATGGACTTGGACAAAGCTGATAATTTCCTTAGCCAGGTGCCCCTGCCGAACGTGACTGCAAAACAGCTCCAATTTCTCAATGCAGACATTACTGAAGAAGAGGTTGCACATGTCATTCCAGGCCTGGCCGGGGCTAAAACGCCAGGCCCGGATGGTTTTGCTGACAAATGTTTTGAAATTCTTAAGGGAGATGTCCTGGACACTCTGTGCTCCCTTTACAATTCTATGTGGCAGGGGGCGGCACACCTTACAATGGGCAGGGAAGCCTACTTTAAACTTATCCCAAAAGCCGGGAAGGACCCTACCCTGTCTGGCTCTTACAGGCCGATTTCACTCATCAATGTGGACACCAAAATCTTTTCATAAATCATCGCGGACAGATTGTCCGTCATTCTGCCTACCATTATCCACCCCGCACAGGTTGGCTTTGTCAAGGGTAGGTCGGCAGTGACGGACATCAGAAGGGTGATTATGGCTTTGGAGCAGGCTAATGTCTCTCCAATGTAGGAATACACCATGGTAACCTTAGATGTTGAAAAGGCGTTTGATAACGTGAATCTGGAGTGGCTGTTCAGGGTAATGCCCACCTTTGGTTTTCAGGGAAGAGTGCTCTCCCTCCTGCGACAAATGTATGCCTCCCCCACCGCTAGAATATGGACGGGCCTTGTCCTCTTCTATATTTTTACACAAGGGCACTAGACAGGGCTGCCCATTATCCCCCTTGCTCTTCAACCTCGCATTGGAACCACTGACAAGATATATACCGCAGACCAAGGCAATCCGGGGCATTCCGGTGGGGGAGATGACATCATGCTTTTTACCTCCCGCCCCGCCGGGGATCTCCGGGACTCCGTGCCATTTTAGATCACTTTGGTACTTTCTCAGGATTCCATATTAACTATTCCAAGAGTGAGATTCTTCCCCTAACTGTAAAACAACTTGTCTCACCACTAAGGTTAATAACAGAGGTTTGGATACACGTCTTCTGCAGAAAATGTGAAAGCCGCACAGCCGCGCCAAGGCACCTCTTATACATCTTTTCAAAATGATTCGTTTTGCCAGATTGCTGTATCCATTACAGACTATTCCGCTGCTTCTCAAGCACTCGGATGTTAAACGTCTAAATGGGGCTATGACAAAATTTATATGGCGCGCAAAACGCCCTAGAATCTCCATTAAAAACTTTGGCTCCCAAAGAGCGAAGGGGGGGCTAATTTCCCGAACATTCGTCTTTTACATAGCATGTCTTTTACGGCATGCATTAGACTGGCTGTCGGACAACTCTAGATATTCTAACACGGTCCTAGAACAGGCACTGGTACACCCATGGGACCCTAAAGCTATACTACATTGTAAATTGTCTATGTTGCCTAGGGAACTCTCCCAGAACCACCTACTCAGGGACACCATCATAGCCTGGAGAGAGACGTGCAATTGGTTGCGCCTCTCGCCTCATATCTCCCTGTACTGTCCAATACGAGGTAATCCGATGTTCCCTCAAGGCCAGGATCAGGCAGTGTTTAAGCTCTGGCACCAACATAGGTTATGGACTTGGAGACAACTGTTTCTGGAGGACTCTTACAAACCCATCCCTTTCCTGTTATCTCTCTACAAAATTCAGTTTCCCGCTCTCTCATTTCTTACACTTTCTCCAACTATCGGAAACCTGGAACAAAATGTATACGGACCCCAAGACGTTCCTCACACCCACATTCTTGGATACTCGGATGCACACTGGTCAATACTCCATCGCGGAGCTGTATCTCAAACTCCAACTCTGCCTCACACCGCCGCTTTCGGCCTCTAATGTGCGGGATTGGTCCAAATACTTTCCAGGACCTGACATTGTTGATCACCTCCTGCATGGATATAACAAAATCAGGAACCTTGTAACAAACGAGATATGGAGGGAGACCCAGTTCAAACTGCTACATAGGGCATATGTACCATACTTCATGCCAGCGGGGACGTCTCCGCAACCGCTTATCTCGCGCTGCCCCAAATGTGGCAAAATGCGCCCAACCTTGGCACACTGTCTGTAGTTCTGTCCTTCTATCAGCGTGTTCTGGTCCCAAATTTCCACTTACATCACCACCATTGTGTCCTGGTCACCACCTTTGTCTCCTCTGCTATTCCTGTTCAGTGCATCCTGGGACTGCTTGGATTCAACTTCTCCTCCTGAACTCAAAGGCTCAGACTGAATTCACATCTGCCTGTTGGCAGCCAGGAGATGAATAATGTGTTCATGGAACGCTCCACAGGCACCCCAGTTATCAGAGGTTGTGGGAGAGCTTAAATTGTTATTTAATAGGGAAAGACTGGATTCGGAACTTAATACTGAACTAAAAAAGTCAACATTTTTCAGGTGCTGGCGATACTTTTCCACTGCCACATTTGACAGCTCCAAATGGTCCCAAATAATGTCTCCCTTTATCTTTACGACCTGGTACTTAAAGGCTCAAATGTCTCACACACTAGGATTTTTGGAAGTCACCTCAGATGCTTTTACTGCACTGAATGATAGACCTGAAATGTAGGCAATCAACAAGGCCCCTATGTCACTAATTAATACCAAACTAAAACTGTGCATTTTATTGGTGCCTAATTTGAGTTTGATTTTGTTTTTATATGGCCTTCTCTTATCTTTATTGTCACTTCTGCTCATTCTCGGGTTGATTGTTTGTCTCATGTTTGGAGACTATTTGACTTGACAACTTAACAAATGACCCTCATAAAAACATTTTATTAAAAAAAGAATAATTACAAATATTTGTTATTTATTAACTCAATACAGTTTTATCTTTAAGAATTAGTCGGAAAACATTTTTTTTGAGCACTGATACTGATTTTAGTGTGCTTTTATCAACTGAATTGTGTATTTTTATCGGTTTAATATTGATTTGATAAACATTTGCACAATTATCGCAGGACCTACAAAATTAGTCGCACCATCTTTTTATTCTACTGAGCCTGTGCTTTCAGAAAATATATGGCTTAGGGGGTCTTTTACAAACGCTAGAAACGCAGCAATAGAGAATAAAAACGATAGGAAAAATTGCAAAAATGGTGTGGCCAGCTGAGGCTAAAAGCGTTCCGGAGGGCTTGGCAGCAAAATGGTAAAACTTTGTAATTAGAAGTTTAATCAAATATGTTATAAATTGCATTAGCAACAGCACAAACTTTTTTTATTTAAGACGTCTATTACAACTTATGGTTTTGGAATGACTTACCTTCCATGTTATTTTCATGTTATTGGGTTTTGTGCCTTCTCCTCGAACATCAATGGGGTTGTTTGAAGGAGCTATAATGGAACAACAAATACAATTTAAATTGTGCAACTGCCTTGGCTCATTCTATATTTAGAAAAACCAGAAATATTAACCAGTTTCTCAAAATCATGTCAATCGTATTATATCTCTGTTCAAAAAGATGAGTAGCAAGTGAAAAATGCATCAACCCTAAATCACAATTCATAAATGTATTATCAACAGTCTAATGAGATACAATTCTTGAAATGTAAAATCGGAATGGTTCATATAATTGAAGGACTACGACAGAAGCAATCTAACAGTATTTCAAATGTGATGATCTTTGGAGTTCCAAAATATGTGTTACAATTCTGGTCTACATAAAGTGTGACTGAGGATTGGAGTACATCTCAATCAGTTGTCAAGATGTTCTAATCACTGGTATGCATTGTATATTAATAAAATAATTAAACATTACAACTGTTTCAATATACTACTTACTTATTAGGACCAAAAGATAAGACTCAACTCATAAGCCCTACACCTTTTGCCTTTACTTAAATTCACCCCTGGAGTCCGTCCGTAAACTCAGTGGCAAAAAAACAGGGAACCGGGGGGTACAGAAGAACTTACCTGGTAAGGACTGCAATTGACCCAGTTACAAAAATGAATCATAATATTCGCTGTGCTGAACAGAAGGTGAGGGACATTTGAGATTCAATCATTTCTAACTGTAACTAATGTGAGATTATAACCTGCTTCTGGTGTCCTGATGCGATCTGAAGGCTTGCTTCCGTTGCTTGGTCCCAGCTCATTTACTGCAATAACTCGGAACTGATAATATACATAAGGAGAAAGGTCCAGGTGTGCCAAGTTTTCAGTTCCAGCAACCCGTTTCAGTTCATGCCAAATTCCAGGTTCAAAATTATCTTCCTCAAATTCTATAATGAACTCTAAAAGATATAAAATTTACTTATGGAATAGAAAGAAAAAAAAGGAAACAAAATTCAACAACAATTAGGAGTCTATTTATAGACAGTTCAGTGGAAATGTATCTGGCCTTCACCTAACATTCACCCAAAATATACCCAATTTGCTTTGGGTAACAATCAATCTATTAATAAAGCAAAACCAGTGGGCATTTGTCCATCTAAAATTATATTCCCTGGCAACATCTATTTTATAGAGATAGGGTGAATGTTGCAGTAAAGGCCTATTTATAGGGGGAATTACACATTCCCTGCATATTCACTAGACATTCCCTCATCCGTTTGGTAATACAACTTGCCTAATTGAGCTGAAAAACAATTGGTACTGAAAATGCAATGATTGCTTATTAAGAGTGCTGGACCTGTCTTTTTCCCACATGTCTGGCACTTCAAGGGTTACCTGTCAACTGTCAATTTTTTTATTTTAAAAAATGGATTAATGTTAATCTATTAAAATATATTTTCATATGAACTCATTGGCATAGCAATGTACTGTACAAAGAGGTGTAGGGAGTGTGGTAGTAATTGATGTATCTATAGTTTAATCTTTAGCATTAAAACCAACCAGAAAGATGCAAGTATGGTGTGAGGGAAAGACACAGGGATACATTTGTAGAGTTGTTTAGAGAAGAATTGTGAAGATGTACAGTAAGAAGTGTGCTGTAGTAACCACATTTTCTGGGTAACAATACTGGACTTTTGTTTTTTTGGTGTTTACAACATTGGCAACAGGTTTAATTTTTATTGGCCAGGCTGGTACATACACCCCTCCATATTCTCTTGCTTTCAACCCTCCTTAAGGTCTCAATTAGCATATCACTGTGTACCCTCAAGGGAGCTACCAAAGGATTTAAATTCAGTCTATCCAGTCCTGACATTTACACAGCTCTGACACATACCTAAGCCCTGCATGGCAGGCTTTTCTCCATGTAATTAACACTTACAGGTCTTCTCCTTGTCCCGCTCCCGGCCCTCGGCTTCTCCACTCATACTCACCTCCGCTGGGCATAAAACCCCCGAGCCTCGGTGTCCACCTTGATGGCCGGGGGGAGACCCAGAAGGTCCAAGAAACAGCCGAAAAAGCTCCGGCCTGAGACACAGGAATCCAAGAAGGCCGCGGCACCATCTCCTTCTTCCACACAGCAGCTGTAGACACGTGCCAGACACAGTGATGTGGAAGACTCTCCGGATTCCATGCGCCGGCTTCCAGTGAGTACAGACTCCCCTAATTAGAAATCACCAGCTTCTACTGCCTCTCTCATAGAGCGCACAATGGCAGAAATGTTATTCTCCCAACGGGATTTTCCAGCTGATTATATGCCTCCACGTGCATCACATGGCAGCCATGTCTCAGTGGATATAGCCGACGACCACCCCCTGGTTGCTAAATTGTCTGATCTATTAGACAAGGGGCTAGCTCGCACCGCAAAACAAATTAAAGCGGACATTAAGGCGTATACACAGGAACAGGGTACTCGGATTGATGCTAAAGAGCAAAAGGTGGACACCACAGTTGCTCGCACCAATCAAAACACTGCTTGCATTCAAGCTGTACAGACCCAACTGGATGAAGCCCTGTCCAAAATTGATGACCTTGAAAATCGGCCTCGGAGATATAACTTTAGAATTAGAGGACTGCTAGAATCTGTTACCGACTTGGATGCCACGGTCCGATCGTTCTTGAAGGAAACCCTCCTTGGCATACCGGCCCACAAGTTTGAATTGGATAGGGTCCACAGGGCGCTCACTGCACCTCGCCCTGATGTCCCAGCCTGTGACATACTTGTTAAACCACACTATCAGATTAAGGAAATGCTGATGGCTAAAGTCCGGAATCTCCCTGACCTGCAGATTGCATCCCACCCAATACAAATCTTTGCGGACATCTCTCCTGCTACCATCCAGAAAAGGAGAGACCTGAGACCCCTCCTTCAAATTTTGTCTAAGCATACCATCAAATACAGATGGGCCTTTCCACTGCGAGTGCACTTCTCCTTTAAGAATAAGCCTCACTCCTTCTCCACCTTTTTGGAAGGAGAAACACTGCTCCTACAACTGGGCTTATCTGCAACAGATCCCTTACAGCCGGGCAAGAATTCTCTGCAAGCCTCTACGAGCGGATGAGTTCCACCTATCCCGCTATCACCACTCTGGGATTGTCCACGTCAATGCTCTTCAGCCCCGACCTGATGAGAGCCTACGGGTGTTTGAATCTCTGCTGTACCTCAATTGATACCTACAAGTCCCCATTGCAGACTGTCGATGTCCTGTTTCAAGAAGTGTTCTAGTTTCTGTTCTTTCTTATTTTTTTTACTGTTTTTTGGACGGAAAGTGCCTGTTTATATTCTACAATGGACCTTTCAAAATGTTTACTGGTTATGCCCTCACAATTGCCTTCCACTGTCCTCCACTCCCCTATGGCCCTACACCTACAGGTTTTTTTCCACTCGGGCGGACCTGGCTGAGTGGACAACATAATTTTTTGGCTTTAAAGTTCTGTGTATATTCTTTTTAATATTAGACTCCTGTGGGGTATTAGTCGCTCATTCTACGTTTCGTGATATTCTATTGCCGGGGCGGGTTTAGACTGCCGGTGGTAGTCATACGCCCTCACTTGACTCGACCATCTGGGTTTTCCCCTGTCCGTGCCAAGTGTGCTGCCCACACTGGGTAGCTCTCAAATTGTACCTCGATATGGTACCTAGGTGCCCTTTGTGTTGTCTTCTATGTTGTCATCATGTTCATTGTCTTACGTTGGTATATTAAATCACCTCTCTACCCTTTTCTCATTCCTTCTGCTTCATTGCCCTCCTTCTTCTCTCCTGGTCGGTGCAAGGCTGGACGCCTAGCCACCCCATGATGCATACCCGTGGGAGCCTCCTAGGAGCAGTGACTCAGGCCATCTGTCGTTATCTGTTTTATACACTCCCCAGATATCATGTCTTCCTTTAGACCTGACATTCGCATAGCCACACACAATGCTCAGGGCCTTAACTCGCCATTTAAATGGCAAGTGGCTTTCGATCATTATCACTCCCAAAAAATTGATGTGCTCTTTCTTCCGGAAATGCAATTTCCTTCTAGTTACAACCCTTTCTTTATCCACAAACATTATACTCAATATTATCTTGTTATGCTCCTGACAAGTCTAAGGGGGTAGCCATTTTATTTGCTAGGCATGTCCCTTTCCAGTTGCAACTAGAAATTAAAGACCGTGACGGACGCTACCTGCTACTGAGAGGTTTTCTCGGGGACCACCTGTTCACGTTCATCTCTTACTATGCCCCTATTTCTGCCAAAATCCCCTTCTTCACTCACCTCCTCTCAACCCTTCCCCTCATATTGAAGGCACAGTAGTGTTGGCCGGAGACTCTAATTTAGCTCTGGACCTTAGTATTGATAAATCTCATTCTTCCCGTACTAAACTGAAACATCCCCCTAAACGTGGATTGAAGCCAGCAAAACTCCTTCACACCACTTAGTAGATCTATGGCGAGAATGTATTACCTCTACGAGAGACTATACTCATTTCTCCCATGCCCACTCTACCTATGCCCATATAGATCATATTTTTGTTTCTCCTCAGATGCTTCCAAGAATTAGTTCCACTAAGATTAGAGAGATCCCTTGGTCTGACCACTTTACCTAATGTAATGTCCTGCCCCGGTGGCTTTGCAAAGGTGTCTGGGCTCCATATAAATGCAGCTAAGTCCCTTGCCTTAAATATAAATCTGCCCCCCAAGCTAGTGTCCACATTGAAAACTGCTTTCCCTTTTTCATGGCCGTCCACTACTCTGCACTTATCATGCTAACTTTCCTCCCCTTTTCAGGAAATTAAAGTTAGACTTGGATAGGTGGTCCTCATGCAACCTTTTTTGGTTTGGGAAAATAAATGCTATTAAAATGACTCTCCTCCCCCGCCTGCTATATCTATTTCGGGCTCTTCCTATTCCCGTCCCCAGATCCAAACTGGTCTCCTTCCAATCTAGCCTGGTGAAATGTATATGGGGAGGTAAAAGCCATCACTTACCTAGGGTCACACTGTATAGTACTAAGGAATTGGGAGGGTTGGGGTTTCCAAATATACACCACTATTACCATGCCGCCCGCATAACTCAGTTATCCGCTATATAATCCGTGGAAGAACCCCCTGATTGGGTCCTCATGGAATCAAGTGCGGCAGGAGATCTGTCTTTATATCTTTTGAAATGGCTACACCCTAGATTGCGTCCAGCTATCATGGCCCCCACTCTCTCCAGTTCTTTGGCCCTTTGGGAACGCGTAAAAGCCTCTAGAAACATGTGCTCACCCCACACTCCCCTTGCTCCTTTATTTCGGAATCCGGCATTTATACCCGGCACTCACCCTAAGCTATTCCATTGGTGGCTAGACAAGGGCTTGTATAGAATTGGTCAGTACCTTAAGATGGGGAAACTTCTAACTCTAGAGTACTGTAAGGAACACTTGGGCATGCCCCCTTCTGAACTGTTTCGCTACTATCAAATCACCCATTCTCTGCGTACTGTGCTTGCACAAAATGACTCTGGCAGTAGCCTTTGTCCTTACGAACACTAGTGCTTTCAGTCCACTAATCAAAGGGGTGCCATATCCATGCTCTACTCCATATTTCTAGAGTCCCCCGCTAAACAGCCATATATGTTGTCTTGGGAACAGGACCTGAATATCGTTGTCTCTGAAGAGGCGTGGGGTCATCGCTCCAGGGTGGCAATCCTGGGTTTGCTCAATGTCTCACTGTTGGAGGCTAACTTTAAAGTTTTTTTCCAGGTGGTATCTGGTGCCCTCTAGGCTTGCCCTTATGTACCCAGGATCCTCCCCCCTGTGCTTTAGTGCATGTGAGCTTGGGGGCACCATGTGTGGTGGTCGTGTCCTCACATTCGTGGATTATGGGGTAAGATTTTTAACCTTATTTTCCGGGTTACGGGTAGGCGTCCCCAGGAGTCCCA